ATGTGCATTCAAAATACAAAACGCCAGATTCGAGCTGTTCAGAAGACGCTTTTATAGAAGGTCTGACCGAAGATCAGCCCGTTAGCCACAATGCACCATGTCTTTAATAATTTTGAAAATGAGTTTGAAAACATCCAAACTCTCAGTGATGATACAATCCCAAGATTTCAAGAAAACTACATAACAGGCATAATATTAAATATTCAGAATCAAGGTGTACTTCTGACCAATAAATTGACATTGGGAGGTTGTTTGATAATTTGAATAGCGTCAGTATGACTCATACCATATGTTGACCGGCCGTTAATTTCTATCAACTGATCACCAATTCTTGAACGACCATCCAAAGCTGCTGAACCATCGTCTGCCATTTTTAAAATGAATAATGGCATAGAATCGAATTCTCGTCCGCCACGAATCGAAAATCCAAAACCTTTTGGCCCTCGAGCGAGTTCAATACGAACAAGTACTTGTCCCTGCAACGAAAATTCATTTCTAAGGACAAAAATGGCTCAAATAAGCAACAATGGTCAAATGCAAATTTTAGAATACATGAACGATAATGCAAAATATAAAGTTTCATGCTTATTGATGAGCACCAAAGTTAAATTTTTAAAGCGAACCAATCACTCTTTCAATACAAAAAATCAAAATATTGGGTAGACATTCCGTAATCCATATATCTGATTACGAGCATGAGATTGTCGAGTTGAAACTTTTAAATTTAGGTACTTACAGATAATAAATTATGAGTTGTTACCCAGGTTCAAGGTGCAAAGGAACAGGCACTGTTGAACCTGGCGGTTTGCAAAGAGCATGGAAACCAGCTCTATACTATGTGGGATGACATTAAACAAGCGTTCGATTCAGTTAATCACGGATACCTGAATAAGTGAAAGGCTTAATACGCCATCGATCAGCAGGTTTCTGAACAGAGTACATCCAGATGAGCAGTTGTACTAAAAAGCAATGGAAAACTGTAATGAAGAAGAAAATACAACGAGGAATTCTTCAAGATGATAGCCTTTCTCCGCTGCTATTCGTCTTGTGTATGAAACCTTTCAGCCGTCGGCTAAGTATGATATATCCAAAAGTGGCGGTTCCGTCTGATCAAGGAATTCACATAACGAGTTATCTTTGGTTTGTAAAAGATATCAAGATTTTTGCGACCGATGACAATATAAAATCTATGGCTGAAGAAGTTCAGAGATTTCTTGATGTGGTAGGACTAGAGGTGAATCAAGAAAATTCAGCCATTGACACCGATGTATGTACTGATAAGACAGTACTATTAAAAGGATCTCAAGGGTATAACTCTTGGAACCGTGGATGGCAGGACTTGTGCATCTACCCGTGAAAGCTACGATAAAGTCCGTGCAGAGAATTGAGCGATTAGCCAATACTGCACTAACTGACAACAACTTTATCAAAGCTGTGAATGAGCACGCCAAAAGCCTAATTAATTATTACGTCGGGGGTGCTCAAGCTGGAGCTGGAAGACTCCAAAGCTATAGATTATGATATCAGACAGTTATCTAATAATACAGAATGCATAACCAACCAGCATGTTCGGAGAAACTGTATGTGCCAGAGGGCGAGCTAGGACATAGATTCATGATGATAAGCATTAATGCCGAAAAGAATATTAAGCTCCGAACATATGAGTTAACAAATCACGAATTTTTGATGGATTCAAGATGCATGTTAATCGTATGTAAACGTTTTTTCAAGGAGTATGAAACAATTTCAAGGACATAACCCACAGATTTTCAATTCTCATAAGTAATGCTGTTGATTACTTTTTCTGAGCTGGAAAATTTGACCAATTTTAGTTGCAAGAATATAAATAGAAAATTATTATCAGAAAATTTGATTTCACTGGATGATAACGTGGATTCTCTTCCTGGAGATCCACGCTATAGAGGAAAGTTTCAGAGAATGTAATGGTCGATATAAAAAAATCAGGACTCTTACAGTATTAAAATTGAGTTGATTTGACATTTGAATGATGATTCTGACGTGCCCTATTTCACTTGATGACAAGCATGTGAGTAAAAGAGTATACTCCCGTTAACCGGACAACAGTATAGGAAAGTATCCAAGTTCGTATTTGATGTATTCTAGCAGTTTAGTTTTTGAATATAAACCGTTTATGTGAAATATTTTTATTTTCGCAATGGATGTAGAAACAGCAATACTGCAATCATATTCTAGTAGTGAAATCAATTATAAATATAATGGAGCTTTGTGAAATTCAAAATATCGGAGAATTTCATTCGTAAAATGATTTTGACACAGTAACTCTATCTTTTCCGATTAAAATTGCTATTTCAGCTATGCAGTTAGTGGTATGGCTTAATAACTGACGCTATATGACGTTATATGTAACAAGTCGTTTTTTGCGTTTACTAAAGCAAGTAGTATGAAAAATTCTTTACAGTGTCAAATTATGGAATCAGCTGAGATTCGTAATTGAGATTCCCGACTTTTCCAGTGTAATAGTCCCACATTTTCTGAAACGATCACTGACTCCAGATATGAAGTGTCATTAATGATTTCGCAGTATTTTTCTTCGGAAGCTAATAATGCTACCATTGATAGCAATATTTTTTATTTGGGAAGAAAATTATTTTCTTTAAAAAAAATATAATCACTAGCAGCATTATTAACTGGGTCGCATTATCGTGTTAATTTTAATATTTTATTGCATTCTCTTGGAATAAGTGAAACTGATTTGCATTTGTTTCAGTGAAAAGTTTCGGCCATCTGTTGTTTCCAACAATTTTAATGATCTTGAAGCACATAAAGTTACTATCATTAGTGATTCCATGTTCTCTAGCAAAAAAGTTTGAAGCTTTTCACCTACCTAGTTTTGGAAATTCAGTTTTATTTTTTTGAAATATTGTAACGTTAACAGTGTATGGATATCTGCCTATTACGATACTGCTTTTAGTAAGTGACAGGAGTTGGTTCTTAAAGATTATAAAAGAAAAGCAGTAAAATTTAATAAAGCAATGTTTATAAAATTTTAAATGTTTTTTCTCTTTCATATGTTTTTTGAGTGTCATTCGCTTGACCTAAAATGGGGCTTCCATAAGTTTCATTTCATATCAAGCAGTTATGAATCCACCATTTTAATTAGTTATCCTTCATGACTCATAAATTTTGTCAGAAGCGACATGAATTTTATTGATAAGTAAATCAAATTCGTTATGTGCCCTGAGAATTAATAAAATGTATTGGGCAAAGACTGGTTCTTGAAGTCACAAATTTATAGTCACCTAAAGGATATTATATACTAATTAAAATGATGCTTTCATTAGTTTATAATATCCTTTAGTTGACTATAGATTTCTGACTTCAAGAATAAACTGGCTATTAATTTTTTAAATCAGGGAGCCTCAAACTCATCAGCTAAATCTGTCAGGAGATTGGAATTATTGGAACAGATGCGCAAGATGATATAATTTTCTTCTTTGCTAGCCAGCCTTAATTATTTAGTCGGAAAGATAGTAACAAATTTTAAAAAATTCGGAACTTATGATTACTGCAAATATTTATCAAAAGTAAATTTAATGCATAACAGTTTTTATTTTTTTTAATTGCTTTGTTGAAAAGTACTGACGGTCTGGTAGGTGACACACAAATGATTCAAATCGGATGGGAATAAAAAATTTTTCAAAATAGCAGTGGAATTTCTGGAAGGTCATTACGTTTTGAGAATTTGACTAAAAATTCTCAGTATGAGCCCAAAATTCTCAGTATGAACCCAATAAAATTATAAACTATCATTTTTGAGAATTATTTTTTTTCTGCATATGTTATTGACAATATATAAATCATTTAAATTATGTATGAAGACGGCAAAAAAGAGAAGAAAGTGAGGTGACCTAGGTAAGCACTGTTCTCAAGTGAATAAGAGCAAAATTGAAGGTCAGCAAGACCCTTTCATTGCGTTCTTCGAACATTAGGCATTCAAGGTCATTCATTACTCGTCGTTGTGCATGGATTCATGAAAAGAAGATAAATTTTCAGCTCAGTAGTCATTATCACCTCTGCTTCGTTCCTTTATCCAGCTTTGTACACCATCGAGATTTTCTATTCTTTACAAGCTGAAAAATTCTGACATATTAGTGGCAGTTGGCAAAGTAATAATTGTTCAATTATTTAATTCAAAGAAGCAAGCACACTCTTCTCGATCAAACGGGGCTGTAAAGCCCTAAAGATGAAATAATGCCAAGTAGTCTTTATCAATAAAATTTTTTCACAAAACTTTCGATGACCTTTGAGTATCCGCACCACGCGAGTGCTCACTCTCTCGGCAGTACAGTCGAGATTGCAGCAGTGAGAGAACCACCAGAGCATATAAGTCACCTGGGGCAACCGACAAGACACACACCCACCGATCCCTCCCTGCGCTTATTTCTTCATGTTTATATAATTTACCTGCTCGTCTTGCCATTCGTGCATGGCAACAATAGCAGTAAAGTATGTCGGCGAGATATTCGTTCACTGTCTTGTCATCCCATGTTTCACTATTATTTTCATTTATTTTGTTATGAATAATAATAATTATTATTATAATTATTATTGTTGTAATTACTATTATTATTATTATTATTATTATTATTATTATAGCAATCATTACTATGATTGTAGGATAATATTTATTATTGATTTATATTGATATTGGTAGTGGCAGTAGTGCTTCGGTTATAGTAGTGTTATTGTTATTGTTATATTGTTTGTCAGTTGACAAAGACAACATGGTGGAGGATTATTGGGCATCATATATTTTTCAAATATTTTTATTTGTCTATCGCAGTTTAAAATTTCCATAAATATTTACTGCATTCTTCTTTCGTATAACTGCCCTAATAATATCATATATTGTCAGTAACTGAAAGCTTCATCCTATTTTGAATATAGGCTTACATACCGAACATATAACTTTTTCCTTTCTTATTTCTTATCATTTAATATTAATCCATAATTTTAGTTCGCTCCTTCTAATTTAAATGTTTTTTCCGTTTCTTTACATGTCATTTGACAAAGAAATGTTCTTTTTCTGTTATAAATAAACTGTTAAGGAATCAGTGGAATAGCAAATAGAGTCCTTATTATGGATACTAGTGTTCATTTTTTCAAATTCATTTCTGGCTGTTATTGCTGTTGTCATTGTTCAGTATTATTAAGGTTTAAAATTCAAGTAATACTTAATGTTTATATAGTTTAGCTAAAAAACAGGCATAAATGATACTTGTTGATTCAAAAATGAAGTGTGATTCGTCAAGAGAGACATAAAAAACGCCACAAAACAGGTATTGAATAGCTGATCCAAGGTAATGATAATTCAGTGTAACGAGTAATTCATAGAAGTCTGAAGTAATAATTTAAAGTCCAAATACTTTTCATGATTAGATCACTTCTAGAAATATCAATCTGTTTGGCGCTACTATAGCACAATCTACGACATATATTTAATTTTTTAAATTAATAAAACCTGTAAAATTCTTTCATATGTGCATACTTTGAGAACTCAAATATTAAATAAAATTGGGAGTTTTTATACAGCACTTTTTGGTCGAAAAAAATTTCCTTTTTTAAAATCTCCAGTTAATCAATTAAGCAACATTTTCATATATATGAAAAATTAACTCCAGAAAAAGATTGATCTGTGCGATTGAGTTGCTTAAAAAAATATGCTAGAAAATAGTACAAACTAATAAAAAGCAGTGGCAAAGTTGGTCTTAAGTTTATAGCTGAATTAGGCATACGTAGATATCTCACTTTTCATTTCTGTCCGAAAAATTTTTCGTTTTTTTGCCATTTTCTCTTGAAAAAAGTTTGAATTGCAGAAGTCTTTGTAATCTTTTCGTAATCAAATCGTGGTATTTTCTTCACTATCACTTTAACTTTTTCGCCCTTTCTTGTAATGTAAAGTATTGGTTCAAAAGGGGTAGAAGAATGTGGACGAACCAAACTGATCAATGCAGCTATATATTCGGAATGGAGAAAATGAAACCATGTTAAAACAACTTTCAAACACTCTAAGCGAATTTTACGGAAAATTTCTCATAGAGGTATTGGTTTGGCATTTTTATTGCTGGCACCTGATTCCATGAGCAGGTTTTGCTTCCTTTCTTTCCATCTTTTCTTACCTTTTTGTGCATGCGAATACGTTCTCTATTCATTATATGAAATTCGAATCAGTTGCAGAAAAATTTATCAGCCATTGCTTTATTATTCTAACTTCAAATTCCATCTCTTTTCTTCTTACATTTTTCGGTCCCAAAGTTGATAATTTATGTTTCACGTTGATATCTAATTTTTGCAATATTTGTGATTTAATGAAAATTCACATTTGAATAATTTTTTCAATTTTTGTTATATAACTCGTTCGTTAATGAATGCATTTTTAATACTCAATGGATAATTTTTCACATTTTATTTCATTATTGATCAAATGTCATATGTAGAATAAATTTTTTTTCAAAGTACATAATTTGTCTAATTATTCAATTTCTGATATTAGTCAATAAATTCTAAATCATGAATATTTAAATTAGAAGTTTCCATCACTTGAAACCAAGAAACAACAAAAGATTTCTTGTTGTTATTGTTATAATTCTGGTACTGGAGACGAAATTAGATTTATAATACACGATTGAGCTTTATTGCAACATTAACTTATTACATTGTCTGCTGAACGATTATATTTTGTTTCATTTTTCTAGTTTATTAAATCCCATATTTTACTTTGTTCTTATAATTTGTGAAATTTGTTATATACTTATTTTAAGTTGTTAAAAGTTACTGTACAGAACGATTAGTCTTATAATAATTTTTAAAAATTGTTTTCTAAAATATTATTTAACAAAAACTTTACTCTCTCCGAGGAAATTGATTTCATTTTTATTAAAAGAATTTTTAAAGTTTGGGTAGCACTTTTTGTACTAGTGTATAGTTGTGAAGACTCTAATCTTTATTTAGAGTTTGTAAATTTATATCGTTTCCTTGTTGTTGATGCGATTATTTGCAGAATTTAAAATAACCATTCGCAGGAACATTGCAGTCATAGTCAGTAGATTCTGTTTGAATAATATTAGGGTTGAATTATGACAGCATCGTCAAATGTATTCTGCGAGAAAGCTTCAATTTTTACTTCTGTTTCAATCACTCTCATTGGCTTGGGACTAAGTATGACTGCGATATTCTTACCATCTTGGCAGGTAAATAGTTGAATAATTTATTGACGAATTCGCTTCTTTCTTAGAAAATTTTCAAAATATGTATATTTACATAGTAAAAGTTCGGCCAACATTTTTTTGATTTCCCGATGATTTTTTCGAAGTTAAATTATTGAAAGATGTGCCGGAAATATAAGTGGTTTCATCTCAAGATTCACAGAAATTTTGCAAGATTTAATATTAATTACAACTTTGTACTAGAAAATTGAAACTCAATTTAGGTTGTGAATTTGAGAGAATATAATTCTATTCATGAGCATGGGTTATGGCGCGATTGTACAAGGCATAGTAGAGATGGTAATTCCAACGTACTTCTAAGAAGGTTATATCTTGATTTTTTTTCATCTTACAAACAATTTCATTTTATCATTTGTATCATTTTAAAAAAAGTAGTTATTTTTCGAAATTATTAGAGAAAAAACTTGTTAATCGCAGTACAACATTATTTAATGAAATTTACTCTCCAATATTAATTAATGAAAACTTTACTCTCTGCTGAAAAATAGATTTCTTTTTCATAGAAAGTATTTTGAAAGTTTGGGTAGCACTTTTTGTACTAGTGCGTAGCTTTGAAGATTGAAATCTTTATTCGAAGTTTGTAAATTTGTATCTTTTCTCTGTTATTAATATGATTATTTGCAGAATTGAGAATAATCATTCGCAAGAACATTACAAAATTTATAAACATACTGTGTTTAGTTTCTGAATAAAATCACTTCTTCATTAGTTGCGTAATTTGTTAAGCAGATTGTTGAATTAATTAGTTTATTTGCTGCTATTCTTAAATTGTATATCCAGTTAACTGTGGAAATCTAAAAGCCAGTGGTTAAAGAAAGTTTTAGATATATGACAAATACAGAACCGCTGAATTGCGTTTATAAATTTGACTATGATAAGTACTTGGGTACTTTTGATTTGGAGGACGACAATAGTCCCATTGGAGAAGTAAATAGGCATAAATTTTATGGTTTGTTTTCAATTTTTTTGCAATAGCTTTTGACGAAACACTTCAAAATTGGTATATAATATGGAATTTCGATAATATAATATTCATTTGTTGGTCCAAAAAAATTGCTTTATATGATTAGATGGAGACTAGTCTTTGAGTTGATTTATGCTTGAGAATTTGATGGAGATTATTGACTACGAAGGTGGGATGAAACTCAAATCTCATGATTTTGTTAGTTATCTAGAAAACCAGTCAAAATATGAATTAATTATAAATTCAATAGTAAATGGACCAAATGATGTTAGAAAACTGTGCAATTTTTATTTCGAGCTTCACTATTTGTAAATGATGCATAATTTCAGGTTGGCACATAGCAACACTCATTTTACTGGGATTAGCATTATTAACTTCATTTCTCTCCATTTGTCTTGGCTTTTGTGCTTGTCGCTATGGTTCCCTGGCATTGATTTTCACAGTTGTTAATTTACTTACAAGTATGTCAAATTTCGAATTTATGGGACATTGTACAAGTTTTTATCTTTCAAATGCAAATTTTTTTTTAGCACTATGAAGCAAAAACATCAATCAGTGATTTATTTATTCGGTGACATTTTTAGAAAATTTTAATTTCGTAATTTTTCAGCATTTTTATCTGTTGTAGCTGAAGGATTATTTTTTCTGTATTCACATCACACTTCTAATCGATTCGTTAAAGGAATAGTTGGTACTTACGAGGTTTGCCTTTGAATCAGAAAAAAATTCATTTTTCTATAGCAACAAAATAATTTTGAATTATCAACCTTGTTCAAAGTAAATCACACCTCGAAAAAAGATGTTTTCATACGTAACGTAATCGAAAGCAATATTTTAAATGTTTATCAGTTACTGATTTATTTCGCTGCAAATGAATGGTTGTTTTACATGGCATAATCTACCATAAAATGTACGTTGCCTTCAGCTTTCGCATTTTATAATCATTTTGCAATATAAATAATTTCCAGCAACGAGTTGGCTTAGCATTTTTTCTTCAAATGATTGCATGCGCGTGTCATTTTATTGCATTTCTGATTTCTCTATTATTCGTTTTTGTTACTTTGACGGGCAAAAGTGATGCAAGCGAGCGATACAGTTTCAATCAAAATTCCAAGTTAAATCCAGCAAGTATAGGAAGGTAAAAAGCAATTTTTTGTTGTTTTTCGTTTCCTCACATTCGTTTCTTTGGCCGTTTGAAAATTCACTTACGTATTCACTATTGGAAACAGTACGTCAAATAAATGTGTAATGAAGTAAAAATTTATCTTTTTATTACGAATTCTTATCGTATTAGTGACCCTTGATTGACGAAAAATACTGAATTTGTATTATTCTCTTGTCGATAGCGAGGATTATGAGTCTTTTTGAAATGGTTCTATCTCATGTAACCCATTTGGAACTGGATCGCATTCCAGCACTCTGGCAGTACTTGTCCCGCGCTCAGATTTGTTGTACTCATCGTTCTCGCTTCGTCCTCGTGGAATCCATATCGACTGTCGAAGGAGATGCTTTCAAGCGTCTTCTTGAAAACTATCGATTGGATGTATGCCTCGACGTGTCTGATATGTTAATCTCGTTCGCATAGCGTTTGTGGAAGTTCGTTACAATCCCATCCCAAGTCATCACATACAGAATAATTTTGATTCTGCATTTCATCTCTGACCCAAGCTTATTTGCAAGTAGGTCATATTTTTGCTTTTTCTCGGTTTCGACTGCTGTAAACCTGTCCTGACCAGTGATACCAACCTCAATCAAGATTATTTCACGTCGCTTCTTATCGTATATCATGATATCCGGTCGATCCACTTTTATTCTGATTGCAGTTCTCAC